AAAGCATTCAGTTTTCCAGCCAAGAAAAGAGTGAGGAGAGTTTGGGTGGTCTCTTGGACAAATCACCCCAAAGGAGAGTTCGGGTGGTCTCTTGGACAAATCACCCATTGGGTTTCCGTAATAGGGTCTGTAAGCAAGGGAAGGCGCAGGGGGCTTTCGCACCGTGGACCGACCCGTGACGGGATCCTACGTGCGGGACCATAACAACATGGATGTCCCATAGATGGGCAGTTCCCAATTTCCAAAATGACTTCATGAACCATTTTTGCTTGAAATTTCCTTGAAAATGGTTAAATAACCTCCATAATTTCTAGGTACATTGACTTATCGCATACCTAATGGAAGTTTCATCATTGCTTCACAAGTTTTGTAATGGTACAGTGTGTGCTACAAGGTTTTGATCGGAATGCCAAAATTATAAGAATGAAAACAGAATCAAAACTGGCAACCAAATTCCTACAAGGATTCAACTAGCACACCCCCAACCAACCCCCATCCCCAAGTAATTTTAAAATCCATAGAAAAAAGCATTATTGAAGGCTTCAAGAAACCATAAGTTAATGAGAGCATGATATATTCATGAATCTCTATTTTTTAAGGATAAATTACAGATAGGTACCCTGTACTTTGGGGTAATGACATTTAAGGGCCTGAACTTCCAAGTGAAACATTTTAGTACCTTGAACTTTCAGAAATATACACTTAAGTCCAACTCAGTTAAAACTGACATTACAATGAGGACAAAAGTACAAAATGCCTATGTTTAGATTCTCTCTTGCTCACTGAACTTTTATTTTATTCTTTTTTCCATATGAAACCATCTCTATACTTCTTTCTAACAAAGAATAAACGCACTTGAAAGGAACAACGGAAAACAGTGAAAAAAAAGAAAATCTGAATATGGGCATTTTGTAATTTAACCCTCACTGGAACATTATTTTTAATAGAGTTGGACTCAAGTGTATATTTCTAAAAGTTCAGTGTACTAAAATGTTGCACATGAAAGCTCAGGCCCTCAAGTGTCACTACCTCCAGAGTACAGGGTACCCACATGTAATTTACCCAGGGATAGTTCAAGAATTTCCATTTATGAGTCAGAAAGCTATAAGGGAGCACAACGGGGAACCTATGCTAGTCAGCAAAAGGATGCAGATCACTGAAGTTTGAAATTTTGGAAAAAGATGTGAAGCTTTAAAGTGGAACTGACTGCATCTAATTCAGCTAATTACTTTCATTCCCTAATTTCACAATGTAGTATACCTTATGCAAGATTTCATATTCAATATGCACTTGGACCCATCAGACCCTTATGAAAGAATTGCATATTCAATATGCACTTGGACCCATCAGACCCGTACATAAATACAACTATGCATGCTAACGTGGATCTGAATAGAGTTCAATTCCAGTCTATACTTGTAGGAGCATAGAAACATAGGGTGATGGCACCACCATGTTAATCATGTGAAGCTTAAGGTTCTCTCCAACATGAGCAACATGGCAGTATTTTCCACCACTCCCAAGATGTAGAGCCAAAGTATTTTCACCCATTTGTCATTTCCCACATAAGGGCAGCCCAGTGCATGAGGCTCCTGCCAATGCAGGGTCTGGGGAGGGACAGATGTACACAGCCTTACCCTGCACATACAGAGAGGCTGTTTCCAAGATTACAGTAAATAAGTTGTTTATTACCAAAAAAAAAAAAAGATAAACATGACAATAAAAGAAAAATAAGAGAAGAAAATCCATATGTATTTGAACCCTAATAGTTTCACTTACAAATCCCCATCCATTCTTGGTAAACATCTCGCCGACAATCCCAAAGTCAGTTCGGTTTGACAAAAACAGCTCTACATATGGAAGCTCATCTACAATTGCTGCCACCCCTCCATTCCCCGGCCCAAGCCTCAGTGCTCGTTCATAATCTTCTGGACTTCCAAGAGAAACCAGCCTTGACTCAGGTATGTTAAAATTGTCTATCATATAGCTCCGAGCAAATGATCCTACTTGATATCCAATTGGCCATCTGCTTGTGGTCAAACTGTCTAGTCCTGTAATGGGTGATGTCAGCTTCTGGATTGTAAGAATTGAAGTCAAGTTTGCTGTGTAGCTTGATGTGATCACCATCAACAGGAAAAGCCATACCATCATTACCATACGCCCTAGTGCACTCAAAGTTTGTTCTTCTGTAATTAAATAATGTAAGAGTAAACACCAGGCTCAATATCAAATTTAGTCCTTCAAATGTATAAAAAAAAAGGTAGAGATATCAGTAAGGGTATAAATGTCAAGGTCTTCCTTACTGTTTGTCTTAAAAAGGGTTGAGAAGCTAAACCTGCAATATAAAGATGGTGAGATGTGAGCCTAGAAACTAGGATATCTAGGGAAACAAAAGTAAATGGAACTGAAAGTGCAAAAGCATTCAGAAAACTAAAAGAACATGCTGAGCTCCAAACTCCCAAAACATAAATAAGTAAATATGGCATGTAATTTAATTAAAAAAAAAAAAGATGACAAGCTTACAAGAACATAGTTATGAGCTGCCGTCTAGGTGGCCCCCGGAAATCATCATTAATTCGATGCTCCAAAATCCAAATAACTACCCCAATCAAGATGAAAAATGATGCAGTAACACACCACATATCCACTGTGAATGGCTTAAGGAACACCCAAGCACTTGACTTCCCATTGCTGATGGGAGCTACTATGACAAGGCCTGTAGCCGCATAAGGCTGAGTAAAGTCAGTAATCTTCATTCGGTTAGTGACAATAGTAATGTCTCCCACAGCTCCATCAATCACCTAAAGCACAATGACACAGAATAAGTGAAATTAATGATCTAGGAATAATACCCTGTAGACAGTACCATATAGCAGTAAAGTGAGAGACATGCAGCAGAATAAAAGCACCATTTGATGGTTTACTGGAGATCTACTAGTACAAGAACCTAAGTGAATAGATTATCCTAACTGTTAAATATATTTTACAATTATCCAAATAAATGTGGAAAACAATTAGGGTCATCCTATTGATGATTTTTAGCATAAAATATTTAGAATAAGAGTCACAGGACCTCTCCAATTGATATTCCAATCCATCCAGCATGTGGCCCATGTGTATTGGTAGGCCATCCTGACTCTAACCAGTGGGGAAAAAAAGGCCATTACCCATTTTGGTCCCAGCTATCTGGGGCCTTGGGAGGAGTGAACCAGATATAGACCTAACCTTTGACACTTTTTTTTTGCACAAAGTGGCCCCCCTAGCAGTTATGTAGTCCATTCTGTATAGAGAGAGAGAGAGAGGTAGCCCATTCTGTAGAGAGGGAGGGAGGGAGGGAGGGGGAGAGAGAGAGAGAGAGTCACTGCATACATACATTTTCCGCAACCATTCTCACAAACTCATCATAACTGGGATTGGACTTGCCATCCCCAAAAGCCACAAATTTGTAAGGAATGTCATAGGGGACTAATTCCCGTGCTGCAGTGAAAACATCAATACAGTATCCTTGGAAATCTTTGGTGCCATGAATTTCTGTTACAAATTCAACAAAACTAGCCCTATATGGGACTCCAATTCTCAAAGGCCTTCCATTGTCTCCAATCACCCATCCACGTGGTTTTTCAGTCCTCTTGCCAGGCCAGGTGACATTTTTGAGTTTCTGGTCTAAAAGGGAACCATGACGCTGTCCCCTCTTTAATGTCTCTGGGGGCACAACTGAAAGGCCCGAATAATTAGACCAATAACCAATCCTTCGAATTGTTTTCTCATCAATATTAATGATGTCATAACCAGCTCCAATAAGGTTCCTGTCTGAATCAAATCGAACTGGCCCTGTTAAACCTGTGAAATTCATTTGCAGTAATTTGCTTCGTAGAAGAGTACCACCATCAAATGTTCTTAGTTTTCCCAGCTTCAGAGACGATGTTTGCATACCACGTAATGCCTTATTAAATGAAAATGTGATGTTGCCATAATCATTCAAAAAATCATCAATAGAACGTGCAACAGCCCAAACCGTGTCATATGCATAAAGTCCATATGTATTCAATCCATAGCTTACAAGACCTTTCTGGAACATATGTTTCCATCGAGACACAAAAGCCTTCTTCCGCAAGGATTGTGGAGTATGCTGGCAAAGCCCAACTACTCCTTGCAGGTTTTGAAGTGATGTTTGGTTCATGAGTGGAGAGGAATCTAGAGTAGCACAAAGCCAATCTGTTGCAATCCACACATAGCCATTGGTCATCATTTGAAGATCTTGGGCCACAGAGAAGATTGCAATACCTGAGTCAGGATTAGCATGAACAACAAAAACACGAGTCCCAATCAATTTGGTTTTATTGAGCAAATCAGTGATGTAGCTAAGATTGGATCCAGTGGGCCAGGCCAGTTTATAAGAAATCTTTGACATTTGCTTTGTGAGTTCATTATCTAAAGAAGATATTCCACTTCTTCCATATTCATCATCAGCAAAGATAGCAATGACCTCTCTCCAACCATAATAACCAATCAAATCAGCCATGGCAGTCATCTGGTAAGCATCACTTTGTGTGCTCCGCACAAAGAAAGGGAATTGAAGGGCAGAGAGACTTGGGTCTGTGGAAGCATATGAGATAAGAGGCACTTGAAGTCCATTGGCAATAAACGAAATCATATGGGCTATTGTAGAGGATTGTGGGCCAATTATGGCCACCGCTTCTTTCTCAAGTACCTGAAAAGCTAAACATAACAACCAATACAATCAACATCATGTAATCTTTTGGGTGATAAAACCACATAACAGTCTATTAACACCAATTGCAGTGCAAATGATGCATAAATCTGGCCCAAAAACCCATTTGGTGGGTCTTAAAAAGGAATGGAACAGCCTAGTCCTAAGAGTTGGCTCTAAGTAAGTCTTCAAAGGCATGGTCCAACCAAGCAATTTGTTTAATAGTATGTTTTCTTTATTCTGTAGATTTAGAACTAAAAATTACATCTCCATTGCTGAAATTCACAGGAGGGATACTCCAAAAAAAGGGAGAATAAAAAAACAAGAAAAAGGGAAATAAAAATTAGATAGAAGATCCAGTTGATGAAAATTCATAGCTTAATTCACTTTGGCATCATAACAGTGAGTGAAACTGATGATTCCTTTAACATACGAAGAATAGTTCTGGAGACCATGTCATGTGGAGCACAATTTGGGGCCAACTAATGGAGTTTTTAAGCAAAGTTGTTCAAACTATTAATATAAGATATTTACTCAAAACATGTATATCAATTAAGAAAACAATACAATTTAACTTCTGAAATAGATAAGAAAATAAGCCAAAAAAAAATATCACATAATTTTTACCTCTAGATAAATTCAATTTCTATCACATATCTCATCAAGAATAAATTGCAAAATTAAAAAGAAATGCCACTCAATAAGCATTATAGGGGAAAGATGGAGGGAAAAATCAATTGTGATCAACGTGCTACCAAATCAAATTCCGGTCAATCTCAACATGCTATCTAAGCACATTTTTGAGACAATCTTGTGTCACACAACCCCAAGATTTTCAGAAAATTGTATTTTGACCCCAGAGGTCTGGACCCTTCTATGATGATTAGGACAAAATAAATGAGGAATGGACAAGTGATAGAAAGGAGAGGAAAGGGTAGAATTTCACTTCTCAACGTTAATCCAAGGAATAATGGGGAGGACTAAGCATAACTTAGAGGAAGCATAATATTCTCCAGACACTACTTGTATAATGCCACTTAGAGGAGAGACAAAAGCCTCCTTTAGATGGAAATTCTAACAAAATTTGATAGATTAATAAACCTAAGAAACCTGCAGAGGATACATTTTAAAACAAGAAAAGAAGAAGATAAAAACAAATGACCGTCCACAATTCAATAAGCATGGCCTCATTTGAGAAGCTTCTCTTAAATAGATGATCAGTATCAAATCGGACTAATCACAACAAAGGGAAATTCTAGAGTGCAAGGAGAGATAGCTGCTGATTTAATCCTTATGACAGCCCCAAGAGATATTCACTTTTGGACATCACAAAGTAAATTCATGTCTGTAATTTGATGAGCACTATTAACATCAAAAGTAGAGAAGAGCCAATATTCCCTACAAAGCTCGCTCAAGAGAACCAACAAAATTTGTGAAGCAACAAAATGATGCATCCCAAAATTTCAAAAAGTAGAAAGTTGTATATAGATTCTTCCTGTGGAATATTGTTGGGAATGCCAACTCCATCCAGAAAACAGAAACAACTCAAAATGAATAAATAAAAGAAATATTAACAGTTGAAAAAAAAACAGCAGTGAAAACCATTTAGATGCCGAACATGCAGTCTCTAGAGACCTCATTTTTTTATTAGTCTCTAGAAACATCAATTAGAAAGTTTATGTACCTTGGACTTTCAATGGAGCCATGAGAGATATATCAAAGGGGATGCGAATATGAGTGAAAAAATTTGCATACATACAAGATGTTGTACTCAGAAATCCAGAGGAAAAAAAGAATATAGGGATTCAGCATTTAGGCTTTATATAAGTTAAAACAAATTTTACTAGTGATGGTATAAGGATTTTAGCATTGCTTCGTATAATGGTAAAATTTCAAGCTGACAAGTATGAGAAAAAGGCAGGTTCGAATCTGAGAGTGGCTACTTTATGCAAAAAATAACCATTCCTACCCCTCCCAAATCCCAAGATAACTAAGACCAAAATTGGGTAATGGCTTTCTTAAATTTTACTAATGATGGCATATTGTTATCTTAAATAACTGATGTAATAATTATAGAAAAATGATCAAAGATGTAACTACACATAAAAGAACAAACCAATGGAAAAAACATTATCCAATTAAACTAATATATGAATTAATAAAATTTTATAAAGAATTGAAGATTTTAAATTCACTCCAAAATATTAACCCGAGAATATGATATTTTATACTCGCATAGTAAGGAATCAGAAAAGAGAAGAATAAATCTCAAAATCAGCCTCCACACATGTTGGCATGTGATTCTTTTGGGGTTTCAAAGGCTCCATGCAATATAGAATCAGACAGTTTGCTGATACCATAAATTTGATGTTATCTAGAAAGGACAATATTACCAAGCTATATTAGGACAAAAGAAAAACAATTTCTCCTTAGTAGATTACTGGAGATAATGATATGGTGCTTTATAGGTGGTACTTCTAGCTACAGAGGCTGGAGGGCGAGCATAACAGAAAAAATTAAGAGCTTATGAAATCTGTATAGGATTAGGGAAATTTTTCTAGTAAAACGCTGTTTAATAGACAGTACAACAACCATCAAATCAGAGAGTACATGGTCAAAACAGTGAGGGCAGGCATCTCTAGTAAATGCACAAAATGAATCAAGTTAAAAGTAGGTGAGGTCTAAAAGAGACCATATGAAACATGACCTAACCTGGGTCCCTTCAATACTAGAGAGACCAAAGACACTGAGTGCAGGGAGAAATATATTCCGTATTCAAAATCATGATGTTCATTTCATGGTAACTGTGAAAGCTTAGGGGCTAATGAAATGGAATAAAACACAGTTATATGATACTAGGCTATAGCTGGTAAGTAAATGTGCAAGAAAGTACATATAGGATAGAAAGTTTAAGCTTCCAAATGATCCCTCTGACATCTTTGTTCATTCTTAAAACAAAAATACTCTGTTCTCCCTTAGTAACTGGATCTCTCATTAAGAAGCAAAGAAGATAAATATAGAATCAGCTTAATCAATTTCAGTCACTACTTAGATCTAGGGGTACCACCATGTTATGTCTGCTCTTCTCTCTTTCATAAATGGCAGAATATGCTTCTTTCCCATTCTCCAAGTTGGATATTTCTGCCTTTAACCTCTCTTAGGATCTCCTATCCTCTGCCACCTTCTCCAAAGAAAACATCTTGAGAGTTTAACCGAGACTAACATTTCTAAATTAGTAAGTCTGATGTAAATTTTATATTTCCAAATTTTGGATAGAATTCAAGTTGCAATTTAGAATTTGAATGAACTCTCTGTTACAGGCAACAGTAATATTGTAATTTTGTTTTTTTTTTTCATTTCTTCTTTTATCCAAAAAAAAACTACTAGAAGAGAACATCCTGAGAGTTTAACTGAGATTAACATTTCTAAATTAGTAAGTCTGATGTAAAATTTATATTTCCAAAATTTTGAATGGAATTCAAGTTGCAATTTTAGAGTGAATGAACTTACTGTTACAGGATACACTAATATTGTAATTTTGTTTTTTTTTTTCATTTCTTCTTTTATCCAAAAAAATAACCTACTAGAAGAGAACATCGTGAGAGTTTAACTGAGATTAACACTTCTAAATTAGTAAGTCTGGTGTAAAAATTATACTTCCAAATTTTGGATGGAATTCGAGTTGCAATTTTAGAATTTGAATGAACTTACTGAGGCAACAGTAATATTGTGATTTTGTTTTTTTTTTCATTTTTCTTTTATCAAAAAAAAAAAAGCTACTAGAAGAGAAAAGCTGAGAACAAAGCCCTCTAGGAATTCACCTTATCAGGCCTCCCAAATCTCAACAAAGTTTATTAATATCTAGCCACTAAAGAAAAACACTAAATTGAAAAAGAAAGAGCTCAATAAGACGTTATCCACGGATTAACAGTATCAAGTATCAACAGGCAAAACCGCAAAACAAGCATGAGAAAGAGACTGGAAGCTACCTCCAATAGAGCCCAAGAAAACATTACATTGCGCATCTGCCATTATTAAGTTCAGTCGAGTTCCATTGAGAATGCTCTGATCCGCATTGATATCGGCCACGGCAGCTTCCATAGCTACCTTGGCATCTCTACCGATAACCGAATCATAAGTGAAAACCGCACCAACGTTTACAACTGCAGGTCTTTGGCAGTAAACAAAGCCACTGAGGAGGACCCACATCGAAACGAAGAATGACACAAGCAGGGCGGTCCCCATAGCTGAAGCTTCAAAGTTCAAACCAAGTAAACCGAAAAGCAAAAGAGGTAAATGGGGTAGCAGAGACTTGAACTGTAAAAGATATCCAAATTAATAAAGAAGTTGTAGAGCTCTTTCGATAGTTGTTCCTAGAAAACAACAATTAATATCTAACAAAAGTAAGGGCATCCCTGATTGATGATAAAACACAAAAGCAGGTACCCAGTTCAGCTTGGTTTTGCAGAGAGCACCCAAATAACCAAGAACAGGGTTACAGGGGCACCTTCTACTCTGTAAATTGGACTACTTTTCTGAAGAAGGACGTACGCGGAACACCCAAGTGCCTAACCGAAGAGCAAGCAGCCATAGAACTACAGAAGGCTATTAATTAGAATTAAAATCCATTGCTTTTTTTTTTTGCGTTTGAAGTACGAAAATGAAACAGAGAATAAAGGCAAACCACACTCTTGGAAACCTACTTTTGATTCGGTGAAGACCCATGTTTGATCGTTATGGCTATCTACAGGGGGGTCCCCCCTCCACCATGATCCAGGTCGTTGAGACCATTAATTGAATAGAAGGAAGAACAACTCAACAGCGGAACACCCAGGCCCCAACACTGGAGCTTACTGACAATCGCCGATTGACTAAAATTAATTGAGCATCAGTACCCTTCTTCCTTTTTCACGTGCATGGGAGAAATGGGATTCTACACGAACATGCATTGACATTCTACATACCCTTGGATTAGAATCTTTCCATGTCTAAAGGTATGAGGATCTGGACCCACAATGCTTGGCTGTGATTTATGAGTTATGACGAAGCTTCTTGCACACTTCCAATGTAGGATCAACCCTGGGGCCCACTTGCAGACTTTCAGCAACTTGGAATAGTATATTGATTCGCTATAGTTTTACATAGCACTGGATTGGAATATTTTATTGATGCAGTAAGGAAGTGGATTTGCTAGACGCATCGCTCACCTCGTGACAAATAGATTTGGAGTTCAAAAAACAATCTCCCATGCGATGAACCGATCAACGGGTAAAATTGAATTTTGGGGGGCTGTTATTTTCCTGAACGAGACTCATCCATGTATTATTTCTTGATTTCTTCTTCTGTTACTGTTTAATATAATATCGTATTGAATCTAGTTCCAGCCTGTCTCTTTTCTTTATACCGGCCGGCCGGCAGTGATACCGACGTTCCCAAATTTTCATGCAGCTGCCACATTCATTCGTTGTCGTCATTTGGCAAGCTCTGAACTCCATATTCTAATTCTAAGCAAGGTGCCAACTGGGGAAAATATTTGGCCCATGTCCCTTTCAAGAAGAACATGCGTCCAATCTTAGTACATTTAAAGGCATTTTGTACAGTAAATTTAAGGTTCAGGGTTAGCATTTAAGGCTATGTTTGTTTGTTTGTTTGAGCCATGGTTTTGAAAACCGGTTGACTTAAGAATAGTCAAGTAATCGGTTCCGTTTCATTCTAAAGTCGCTTTTTGACCCAAAACTATTGATTTGGTCAACGATTTATTGAACGGAAAGTTAAATCATCAAGTCGGATAATGGTTTTTGGCCATTTTATTTTATTTATTTTTTATTTTTTATTTTTATGTTTTTAAGTCAGAATTGGCCATTTGTTCGAACCAGACAGTCGGATCATTCAACCTGGGAACCGGTCCCAGAACGATTTTGCGTCTGGCCCGGTTTTTAAAACTTTGGTTTGAGATTTAAATACATATTTACACCTTTGATTAGGAGTCTTCTAGTTCGTTGAACGATGTAAAAGGGAATCGTTGATTTTTTGAGATTTACACCATTGTTGTTTGGTAGTCATCATAGTGTAAAAGTGTAAATACAAGTCTCCATCAAATTTTGAGAAAAAGATGGAGTTTTATATCGATTTTGTTCGGGTCATGGCTGATCTGGCCCTGCGAGACACGTGGCGCCCAGTTATTGCCCGACTACATCATCCTAGTTCGGGCATGTCGGCCTAGTTCGGCCACGTCAACATAGCTCGGCCACGTCAGCATAGCTCGGCCGAGCTACGCAATTATGGTGACCCCGCATCTCCTTTCAGCCACGTTGACTATATGTCAGGTGGATGAACACAACTACGGATAAAGAGGAATAAGGAACACCATTCCGCTGGGGAATGGAACTCTATCTCAAATACCTCAGCGGTTAACCTCATCCTGACAACTCCGGAAGTGCAATCCGACTAGGACACAGATTTTCGGCTATAAAAATGTACTCCATGCTCGAGGTAAGGGATCCCAACTTCTGAGACCTACACTGCTACTTAGCTTGAACAAACATCCTTATAGCTCGGCCTGACCACCTACCACCTCCTACTGACTTGAGCGTCGGAGTACCTACTCGAGGATAACTCCTCGGGCCTCTGACTTCTACTTCCTTAATCACAGGTCTTGAAACACGGCTTCGTCCTTATAGCTCGGCTCTGCCCTAACAAAGACTATCTGGTTGCTCTCCTCAGTTCATGCACCACCTCGGATTGAGCAGCATCAGATTAGCGTCGTATGTGGTAACCGTACAAAAAGCCTTTCCCGAAAATCCTTCCTCACCGCACTATCAAGAAAGCGATCAAGATGCCGAAGAACCAACCCGAACAATCAACAAGCCGATCCCCATCTCGGGAGTCTCGCCACCAGAGTCCTCCGCATCAAGAAATTCCACAGCCTCCATCCGTGGTTGATCATGGGCAGTTTTCAGCAATGCAAGAAAAGGTCGACAAGATCTTCGAAATGATGCAAAACCTAGGATCCGTGGCACCGCCAAGCAAGACCGTCCCCCCTTATGCATCGACGCGCACAAAGGATGATCCTCGTCTCGAGGACCCCAAAGCGCGCCGAGCAGACAAGGGCATAGCGCGGTCCAACCACGAAAAGCAAGATACAACAAGAAGGTCGGCCCCCTCGGCCCGCTCTCATAGCAGGATGCACCAAACCACACAGATCCCTACCAAGGAAAGGCTCGACAGACGAATGCCACCTCACGTGGTCTCTATCGCCGAGTCTAGCTCCGTGAAAGACCGCGCCACGTGCCCCAAGAAGGAAAGGGCAACGCACACCGCGGCCCCGGACCAAAGGGATGATGAGATTCGGGAACTCTGACAATGCTTAATAGAGCTAGAGCGCAGCCAGAGAAGCATGGTGCCGATTGTAGATCAGCCCACACCACCGACCACGCCCACGACCAAGGAACCACCCTTCACCCAGGAAATTGTGGACGAGGCACCTCCCACAGGATGGTGAGCACCTCAGCTTGACAAGTACGATGGAAACACTGATCCCACTGACCATATCGAGGTATTGAAGGCTCAGTTGATGTTGCACGAATCCCCCGAGGGCTTGATGTGCAAAACCTTAGTGGCCACCCTCGCAGGTCCAGCCCTAACCTGATATTCCTCCCTGCCTCCACGCTCAATAAGCGTCGCGGGAGCAGCTAGAAACCCAGTTCCGTGCTTAGTTCACAGCGAGTCAAAAGTATTAGAAGACCTCGGCCAGCCTCATGCAGGTGCGACAAAGGAAAAATGAGTCCCTCAGGGACTACCTAGCAAGTTTCAACAAGGAAGCACCACAGGTTAGGAACCTGAACCAGTCTGTGGCTATCACCGCTATTCAACACGGCCTCCGCCCATCTCCATTCAACTTCTCCATCTCCAAGAACCCTACGCAAACCTTGGTTGTGTTGATGAGCCATGCGCAGAAGTATATCAGCGCAGAAGAAGCGTAGACACAACTACGGGATGAGGAAGAGAGTTCCGACAAGAGGAGAGATACTGAGGAGCGAAAGTCAAAAAGATTAGATCAAGACCATAAGAGGCAAGACCGCCAACCCGACCACAGACCACGGACACCCCCGCCGACCTATCAAAACTTCACGCCGCTCAATATGCCGCGGTCTGAAGTCTTGATGCAAATCCGCGATTGCAACTATGTTCGTTGGCCCAAGAAGATGAAAACGCAAAGCAATAAAAGGAATCGCGACAAGTATTGCGAGTTCCACAGAGATAATGGCCACAACACGGAGAACTGCTTCGACTTTCGCAACCACATTAAAGACCTAATCAGACGCGGATAACTCGACGGGTTCATCAAGAGCAAGAAGCTGACATAGGAGGAACAGCGCACAGAGGATGCTCGACCACCGCCCCGAGCTCCCCCCGCTGGTGTGATCCACATCATATCATGTGGAATCGCCGCAGGAGGGGAGAGTAGCTCGGGGCGCAAGAAGTATGCACAACTGTGCGAGATCGACAATCGGGGCACAAGAAGAAGTGTGGCCAGTCCATCACATTCATCGACGATGACCTCTGAGGGGTCAGACCCTGCATGACAACGCCTTGGTAATCACAGCCGAGGTGGCCAACTTCGAGATAAGGCAGATCCTGGATGACACAGGTAGCTCCGCCGATGTACTCTTCTAGGATGCATTTAAGAAGCTCGGCATCGACAAAGAGCACCTCACCCCCGTCAACACTCCCTTAATGGGCTTCTCTGGGGAGTCTCTCCTGCCTACTGGAAGAATAACCCTCCCCCTACTAATTGGAGACAGTGACACTACTACGACGACCATAGTAGACTTCATTGTTGTTCATTGCCCCTCTTCGTACAATGCCATCCTCGGTAAGCCGACCCTTAATGCTCTACAGGCTACGGTCTCCACATTCTATCTCACCATGAAATTCCCCATCGAATATGGCATAGGGATAGCATGTGGAAAACAAAGAACTGCATGGCAATGCTACTTGCTCTCCTGCCAAGGACCACGCCCAGCCACAAAAACATTGATGGTAGAAGCTTATGACCTAAGGGACGAGGTGAGAGCACAGTGCGGCCAACCTGTCGAATACCTCATCCAGGTGCCGCTCAACGAAGAAGACCCCGAAAGGACAGTCCAGGTCGGTTCTCTCCTAGGCGACCACATCCGGGAAGAGCTTGTACAGCTATTGAAGGACCACGCCGACGTATTCGCCTAGTCGGTAATAGATATGTCGGGGATCGACCCCGAAGTCATCACACACCGCTTGAACGCCGACCCCCGCTACCGACCTATCAAGCAGAGGAAGAGGAGCTTCGCAACAGAACGGTGGCAAGTAATTGCAAACGAAGTACAAAAGTTACTCGACGTCGGCTTCATTCGGGAGTTCAAGTACCCCAACTGGCTGGCCAACGTGGTAATGGTGAAGAAAAGCCAATGGAAAGTGGAGGATATGCATCAAGTTCACTGACCTAAACAAAGCCTGCCCCAAAGACAACTTTCCTCTACCAAGGATCGGCCAACTTGTCGATGCAACGGCGGGCCACGAACTCCTAAGCTTTATGCATGCCTTCTCAGTGGCTTATATTGTTACAAGGTCACACCCTTCGGCCTCAAGAATGCCGGCGCCACTTACCAACGGCTGGTGAATGAGGTGTTCAAAGATCAGCTCGGCCGAAACGTAGAGGCATACATCGATGACATGGTAATAAAGAGCAACAAGGCCGAGCAGCACCTTGCCGACCTAAAGGAAGTCTTCAACACCCTCAAGAAGTATAAGATGAAATTGAACCCGACCAAATGTGCTTTCGGGGTCAGCTTGGGTAAATTCATGGGGTTTATGGTGACAC